GAAGATTACGATATGTAGTGCGATTCTTTTTTTTGTTTTCTTTAGGTGGGGCCCCGATACTCCTTGATAACACAGACGGGTGATTAAAAATTCACTACGCATAACCGCACACAAATTACATACATTCGTTTGATTAGTCATTCATAAAGTAGCCACAAAAAAACAGACAAGCTTTTACCCCAACTAAAAACGGTTCAAAATTGACACCCGCCAAATGTGATTTCAAACTCATTTTGGGTGGTGTCGATAAAAACGGAGCGGCCCGCTCGGCTGGTGATGCGCGAAGCAATTGTGTCAGTCAGATAGACTTGAGGTTGGCCCGTCAAGTCTCGTTACGGTGCCTCCTCTGCCCGCTCGTAGAAGATTCTGACTCGCGGGTAACTTGAGAGAGTCACCAGCCATGCTGGCTGGCTGGCGTTCAAAAAATAAAAAGGTTCATTGTACAACCCTGGGTGTCGCCATGGAAACTGTTGCTACAGACAACGTTTTGCAAGCACCACATTTTTTTCCCCCTCTGACTGAGGGGGCATTTTAGTGTGTTGGATGAGGCACAAAGGTGACACGGTGGAGGCACATGCGTGTTTGCCCCTCGAGTTAAGCAGCAACATGACATCATCATCATCATCTTGTAGAAAATAGACAGGAAATACTGAAAAGCAAAAACTGTGACTACAAGGAAAAGTTATTGTTTTGAGAATCAGGCAAAGGCTGGAGTTTTTGCAATACTGTTTTTTTTTTTCAATTAAAAAAAAAGATTTTCTAGTAAAACAATCCTCAGACTTTTTTTCCCTTGAAAAACTTGGGGGCTGGGTGGGGGTTGGTAAGAGAGTTTAAATCAAGAGGACACACAAAAAAAAAATTGTCATATGCATCTGTTTTTTTTCTTGAACAATCAAATTTTTCCCAGAACTGACTAATCAGACATATTTTTTTTTCTTGGCAAAAATACCGCCCACACACACACATCAAATATGATTTTCTTGAAAATAATTATTTTAATAGAGTTTTTTAAATTATTTATTCGACAAAAGAGCTTGATTTTTTTTTTTTAATCTACATTAAAAAAATGTTGGAAAAATGTGACCCTCCCTCCGCCAAAAAATTGGTTGGGGACAAACTGAAAAAAAATATTTAATCAAAATATTTCATTCACTTTTTAAAAAAATATTTTGAGTCATTTACCCATTTCAAAATGACTTTCCTGAATAGAAATGCAACTTTTCAAATATACAACTTTCTTGAAAAAATACGTTTTTTTTAAAATTCTTTTGGGTCAGCAAAAATGAAATGACTTTTCCAATTTAGGAAAATATTTCACTTTATTCTTTTCTTAATGATTCTCAAATATACTATTTCTTTGAGAGAAAAAAATTGCCCTCCACAGACATTTTAGAAAAAAAAAAAAGGTTCTCAGGGGAAAAAAATAGCTGCTCTCGAGCATGACTTTCGTCAAAGAAATGCCTTTTTTTTTCTGGGAAAATTGACTCAAAATACAATTTTTCCTCAAAATGCAGGACCCACCAGCCTCCAAATAAAATAATCATTTGACTTGAACAAATTCCTTTTTTTCTCCTTTATTCTCGTAGTATATGACTTTGACCTCACCCTCCTCGTTGCGTGACGGGGGGTGACCGCACTTGGCGAGCAAGCAGAGTCTCAGTTCAAAACGGAGTCAGTGCGGTGGGGGCGGGGGCGCGCCCCCAATCCTCAGTCGCTGCTGTCGTCATCGTCGTCGTCGTCGTCCGAGACGTCGCGGAAGTCCCCGGCGCGTCCGCAGACGGTGTCGGAGCGTCCGCCGGCCACCAGCTGGCCGTAGCAGAATTGGCAGACGCGCACGGGCTTGGACGACTGGCTGGGCAGCAGGTACTTCTTCTCGGAGCAGGGCCCGCACACCACGAAGCCGCACTTGCGGCAGTGGTGGCGGCGGCTGACGGGCGTGAACTTGACCTTCTGGCAGCGCATGCAGACGGCCGCCTCCGAGTCGGGCACCCAGACAGCGGCGTGCTCGCCGGCCGGTGCCTTGCCGCTCTTCTGGAGCAGCTCCTGGACGCACTTGCCGATGTGGTTCATCCACTCGGATTTCTCGGTGGCGGTGGCGGCGTAGACGGCGAAGGATTTGGTGGGCGTCTTGATGAGCCAGCCGTTGCGCAGCTCGCCCTCGTCGGGCACCGTGTCGATGGTGACGCTCTCCAGCGGGATGATGTGCTGCTTGTTGTACTTCTTCTTCTGCAGCACGATGTTGCCGTAGACCAGGATGTCGTTGAAGAGGAAGAACTGGCGCGCTTTGGGCTTCTTGCGGCACAGCTTGGTGAGGACGCCCTCGCCGATCAGCACGCGGCCCGGGATGGCCAGGGGCTGGCCCGCCGCGCCGAAGCAGCCCTCCACCACCGAGATCCGCTTGGAGTTGGCCTCGCTGTTGGCCAGGCGGTCCACCATCTTGGCCCGGCCTGCGCCCACATCAACGCACGTCAGGATATCACGCGAAATTGGCCATTTCAAACCGCGAAGGCACACTTGGGCGTGTCTCTTTTCGGGCGTGGCTTTTTGAGAATTTTTTTTGGTGGCTCGATTCATGATAAACAGGCCTGAAAGTTTTTATGTGGCTTCGGGAACGGAATTTTCCTGATGAAAGTTCATGCTTGACTTGGGTGGCGGCAGACAGCCCAAAATTCAGTCCTCAAAATTACTTTTGGCAGGCACGTCCACCAAAAAAAAGTCTCAAGAAGCAACACCCCAAAATGGCAATTTCTGCCATTTTTGGTTTGAAGCAAACATTTTGGTTGCATTTTTCCAGGGTGATTACAAGAGAACCTCCTCCTTGAGATTTTGTCCACTTCCAAACAAATGCGAACCGCGTAAATGAGATTTACAAGAATGATGAGACAACTGAGTTTTCGTCGTCGCCCGTACGTAGAACCCAAATCTCCATCAGCTCCACACAGACGGACGGAGCTTGACCAAAATTTTTAAAATACCCTCGAAAAAAAAAACATATTTCAAGTATTATGTAACCTTTATGCGCTCGACCGATCAACGTTGAGATTCAAGGCATGTTTCAGCTGAACCGTTTTGTCTTCTTTTTCTTCACGGCCGTGAGCGTTTTTTTCCCCCTTTCTTTCTTTCTTTCTTTCTTTCTTTCTTTTAATTCACGTCAAGTTGTAACACAGATCAACAATCAAGTCGTCCGATTGGTTCGACGCACGTCCGTACACGTCTTCGGATCGTCGCGGATTGAGTCAAGGTTCTCGTTGAAATCCACCCTCGTTTTTTTTTTGTGCCTCAATATGAAAGGAAGGGCAACGCACCACCAAAGGCAATTACTGATCTTTAGCCCTGGTTCTTTCGCACGCACACACACACACACACACACACGCACACACACACACACACACACATAAATAAAAAAGTGTGATGCATGGAATCAATGCCATGAAAGGATGAGTAATTTAATTTTGTTGTTATGTTCATCCGATAAATTGGGCGTGTTGCATGTCGAATTTTGAGGGCATGATTTATTATTTTTTTCTCAATTTTGGAATACGACAGGCCAAACAGGTCGAAAAAGCTTTGTGAATACTTTCACACTGTATTTATATTTACACTCATATGAATCATTCTAGGAATTTAATTAACAAAGAAACCAAAAATCAAAATAAAAGATATAATTCGAACGAGGTCATTTTACAACTGCAAAATAATGAATTTTTGTTCACCACAACAGTCGGCGGGAAACTCGGCTCGACGCGTTGTGAGAGTGTCGGGACCGCAGGTGAGGAGGGCGAGGCGCGCTTCAATGATCTACTTGATCATCTGCCACCCCCCCCTCCCATCCCCCCGCAACACTCCCTTTTCCTTTTTCCAGCACTGCTCCTTGTGTAATCATAATCCAATATGGCAGGGTGTATAAATGGCCGCAGATTACATGGCGCACGTCACCCTTGGTCCATAGTACAGGAACTGGAACTTAACTGTGGCCATGGGAACACGTTTCCTAAGTGTACAGGCAGCCACCTTTATTTCGACAACTCTGATTTGTCTCTTGTCATTGGAACATATACTTCTTTGTCACAAAAATCATTCATGGTGTTTGGTTCTTTTATGACTTTATTGTGGATGAACAGAAAGGAGGAAGCACGCACTGTTGCCCCCGCGCCCGAACACAGCAAGCATCGCTGCCTCCCTTGTGTGACAGCCAATCGACCAACTAGAGGCCATGTTCGGCGCTTCTCCGCTCTCTGCTGTTCAGTCCATCATCATATTTATTTTGTCACTCCTGGTTGTGACGTCAGAAAAAGTCAAAAGCTGACTTTAGTTGGAGACTCGTTGGGAAGTAATAAAAGGCGATTGCAGAGGATGTGTTGAGCGTAAAGCTCTTTGGAAGAGGCATATTTGTGGGTGCTAAGTAGCTTAGCAGACCCTGCCTGCCTGCCAGCCAGGCTCCCTGGGGGGGAGGTACAACTTTTCTTTCTTGCAACTCAATCAGATGCAACCAACTTCCCTTTAGAAAGAGGAACACAACTCATGAGGAGTCTCGATCACACTTTCGCTAAGCTCCAAATGCATGTTCATATTTTAAACAATAAAACACAGAATATTCCGGAAAGGAAGTCGTTTGAGGTTGATCGAAAATGAAGATTGACTGTTCGCCAGCCAATCGTTGGCCTCTTAACTCACATGTACGACACCAAAATAGAGTCTGAAATAAACCCTAATTGTCAGCCCACATAAAGATAAGTATTCACACTGACATTCTCACCAATGGACAATTTAGAATCTTACATGAAGCTGACTCCGCACAGGAAGCAGAGATTCGAACCCCGAACCTGAAAGTTGTGAGGCAGACGTGCTAACCACTAGGGTACCACGCAGTCCTCGATTGTGATTAAACCTCCAATTCAGTATTTCACAACAATCACTCTTCAACCAGCCTGAAGATAACTTTGTTCATTTAAACTGACACGTTTGTTAAACGAAAATAAACTGAAAACGTTTAATTCCAACTGAGACCAACTG